AAGATTGTGGGCTGCAGATTCAGTCCTATCTTCCTTAACGTGACGCCTGGCAGGGTTCAAAGTCCACGAACGCAATCAGAATGAAAGGGCTATTCCACCGAGTCAGCACCCGAAATTCGCGAAAGTTGTCCTGAATATAGAAAACTAACGAAAGCTCTCTTAAGCAAGGGATAGCTTTGCTGATTTTTTATACTTCCGTGTAGCTTATTCCAGACTGCTATGGTGTTTGCTGAAAGAAAATGGCGATATCTAACTGTGCATGCTATAGGAAGAAATAAAAAGACATCTCGATGACTGGTGCGTCGAGAATGGTCGAGCTGTCTCAGGGTACTAAGGGGATTAAAGGTACGGCCGTTTAAAAGTTAAAACAAAAATTATCCCTTCTGTAACCTGCAAAACCACAAAAAATTGAGGTTAGTAAGTTCACAACGTTGTTAGTAGGACAGATTGCGGTGTTCTGAAGAGACATTTCTGAAGAAATGTTGGACCGATTCTATTTACTTCAGGTCAGCCTTCAGCGCGCAGAATGCTAAATAGAGGCGAGCAGTATTCGAGAATAGGCCTTACGTGCATATTATAAAGGCTAGTTCTAACTTTGATGGTCTTAAATTTTCTGAGAATAAATCCGGTTGTTCGGTGTGTTTTCGAGACAGTCAGAGGGCAGTGCTCTGATAGATTGAAACTATTAGAATAGGATATGCCCAGATCCTTAATAACTCCGGGCACATTTATTTCTTGACGGTATACGCTTAGTTCAGGCTGATGATCGTTTCCGATAGCCATAACGGAACATTTTCATCAACAGTCCTGTTTCATTGCATTACAACAATCCTATTAACCAACATCTTTAATTTTTCAGAAGCATTTTTTTCTCCTACGTTTTGTTTTTTTTTTAATTGGGAGTCCGCTGAACTCTGCCCCCGCTTTAGTGGTAGGAGTATTTTTTCACTGCTTTCTCCTTAGCTCACCATACATTTCAGAGACTATTGACTATTATTTTAAAGTGACTATATGTTGGCGGATATGAATTTATCTGCCTACCATACTAAACACTCCCGCTGCCTATGTGGTTGCTCACAAAGAGCAGCATTTATCAACTTTGAATTTGGCAATTACGAGGCCCTCCGGGCCTAAAATATTTCAAAAAATTATTTGTGCCAAGAAAGGGAAAGGCGCCATGTGCAGCACCATGGGAAAATGGTCTGAAGATCCCTTTTTATGAGCTCAATGGGTAAAACTTATGGTTTCGAGGACGGCACCCGTCCAAGCCCGGATGGTCGGAAGTGCAGCGAATGAGTTTTCATCGAACGTTCTGGATAAGAATGCATTGAAGCTGTCGGGTTTCAACTTAGCTTCAACTACAGGATTTCCTAAGGCGTCTCGAAGTATTGGGTGCAGCGCTTTTCTCTACACTTTTACTGTGCGCGAAAAGAGTTTCGCAATGTTAAGCGAAGGGTTTTCAGCAAAGTTGACCTCACCGGCTAACTGTTGATCTTCGAAGAGATTCGTAGCCTGCTCAAAGATCACTTTGATCAAAGGCAGAACGGAAGTGTCCTCTTGTTGATGCAAACGACGTGCGAGTCTACGCAGCCTACGGCGGAAAGATAGAGGAAGGTGGACGTTATCCTTGACATGTGTTATTTTCTTATGGGGAACAAAACGGGAAATGAGTGGATCCAGAACTTTTTACAGTGCATTAGTACAAGCATTCACATCCGAACATAGGAAAAAGTCAAACTAGTCGAATGATTTAAGATGTTTCAGTAGTTCCGTAGTATCTGCTTATCGGAATTCATGGAAAAAAACTATATTTTTTGGAAGACGTTTAGTCCGCCTCCAGTTCTAGTGTAATAACACCTGTGAGATGGTCTGAACTCCAAAGTGCATCTAAAGATGACACTGACTGCAGTTCGTACACTCTACAGGAAATAAGGCCAAGCATATTTGATCCTCAGGTGGGAAAATTGACTATCTGATCCCACATATCAATATCTACGGCCTCAACTAAGCTCTCGAAGTTTGAAGGACCGGAGGGGGGGAACCATTGCACTTCGGGAAGATTTAAGTTGCCTGCATCAAGCAGTACTTAAGATTTAAGTCAGCTGCGGCATAAAATGCTGTGAGAGATAAAGATCGTAATCCCCACTGGCATTGAGTGGGCGATACGCATAGCCAACTGGTAAGCAGTAGTTATTCTTTAGAACAACTCGGAGCCAGTCGCTCTCTTCTATTGCCGTAAATTTTAGATAGTCCCGCGGCAGAAATGTAAGTGGTTGCTTACCATACATGCAGCTGCCTCTACCACGGCCATTGTTACGATCATTCCGAATGCAGGTATAGCCTAGAATAGAGAGTTTGGAGTCAGCTACACAGGGCGATGTCCAAATTAGGTTAGTGGCAGCGGAGAGATATATCTGAAGGGTTACAGACAATACCTTGGACGAGTTGATTCATGAAGAGCATTTTTTGAATATTTAGAATCAAGCTAGAGTCGCAAATATTTAATCTGTTTTACTTAAAATAAGACATGATTTAAAATGATTTTTGCTGTTCAATAAGAATCACAGTAGAAGGAGAACAGATCACGGTCTGCGTTACAAGGCCGCTGTAAGAATTCCTGTTGTGAAGGATAGTCCTTGTCAACAACAAAAATTAAGTGAGTTTGGTAGTACTTCCGGTAAAACCTTGATGATTGCTTAGGACATCCTGCCTACGTAGTCAGCTTACGGTATACGTTAGGGTGGAATCCGCACGTGCAGCAGGCTGGGCGGCCGGGTAAATCGACCCAAGTGTGATAAAATGCAAGGCTTTCGGCGTGCCTTCGTAGCCCACTTGGTAGAGCGTTGGGTGTTCTAATGCCTTCCCTGCTTATGTGGGTTCGAATCCTACGGAGGCTACATATTTTTCACAATTCTGTCAACTTAACAACAAAAATTCAATCTAGCTTTCTTTTAAAATAAAAATGATGTCAACCGTCAAATTCCCTCTTGGTAGCGTGTTCCTTGATCAGGCTACTGGTTGGATGAAGAAAAACTTTCTGAGATCCAGTCGCGTGCGTCGATTTCTGGAATTTTAGAGATGGCCGCGAAAAGTGTTCTGTCTGTAATCTCGAAGATATCCAATGGCCTCAGCGAACAAATGGGCCACAGATAATCTGGAATGCCCAGGGCAGGCTACAACTGCTTGTAAGTCAGGTGCATAAATGCGACCGCCGACCATCCTCACTTCACCTCTCAAGGAAGTCAGCGTCATTCCTCGTTCACTGTGCCCGTAATTCAAATACGGTCTTTTGAAGATGCTATAATTTTTTTCCCAATATATATATGTATATTTGAATGGTAAAAGACAAGGAATTCCCTTGAGGACCCCATTAATGTAGATTAATCCATAGCATTGTTACAGCCAATTTGAAGATGTGGCAATATGTTGTAGCATGACAAACATTCGAATGAGTTGTCTCAGAACAAATATGTGTATGTATGTATGTATATTTAAGGGTTACAGGCAAGAAAGGCCCTTGAGGACCTTATTAATGTAAAGCAAACAATGTTATTCTTATAGATAATGTGCAGTTGGTGGAGGACATATGATACAATGACCGAATTTCGAATGAATTTTCACGTAACAGAATGAAAACAGTCAAGAGCCAGAAAAACTGTTTACAATGCTGGCATTAGGAAATCGAGTTGTAAAAGTCGCCTTTACTCAAATAAAATGACATCAAGTCTTCTTTTAAATTCCGCGAGGGTATGGGCGAAAACCGTCTCGCTTGGTAGCAGTTTCCATTGTC